TTAAGCAGCCCAACAAGCAATCCTCTAGACCAGTGGTTCTCCACCTTCCTAAAGCCGCCACCTTGAATACAGTTCCTCATGTGTGGTGATCCCCCAACCATAAAATTATTTTCGTTGCTACTTCATAACTGTAATTTTGCTACTGTTATGAATCGGGTGACCCCGTGAAAGGGTCGTTTGCCCCACAAAGGGGTCGTGACCCACAGGTTGAGAACCGCTTCTCTGTACCATCAAGGCCCAGATAGTTAATATTAATGAGTGTCAGCTGAGGGGAAAGGAAGAAAGTAAGGCTGTGAGAAGCCAGATTTGGATTCTGTGCCTGGGATTGTAGAAGGAAATGCAATATAGGGCGGACCATGAAAAAAAATGCTTTAGAATTAAAAAGTCAGTGATTCAAAACTTTTTAAAGACTCAAATTGGCAGTATGGAAATATGAGACATTAAAATAAAGCTTTCTAGTCAAGATTGGAGTGAAGACTCAGGGCCTCTGGGGAACCTTGGAGCAGATTGGGAGTTGGGAGACCTCTGGGATAAGCACCAGCAACTGGGGGTGCAGTGGTTAAAGTATTTGGCTGCTGTCAAAACGCTTGGCGGTTCAAACCAACTAGCCGCTCAGTGGGAGAAAGATGTGGCTGTCTGATTCTGGAGCGATTACATCCTGGAGGCAGTTTTCCTGGGTCCTTTACGGTTGCCTGAGTCAGAATCAGTGAGTTTGTGCAGAGAAGTGCAGTTTGATTCTTGGTCATTGGCTTGTAATCACTGGTTAGGGACTTTTGGTTTCAATGAAGAATGTAATAAGGCATTTGCCCAATTACCCTATTTGCATATTTGAATGAATTCTAAGGAAAATATTCCGCCCCCCCCTTATATTTAATGCCATTTGTTCAGTCCAGAGTTATCAAGTATCCATTGAGAACTTTGGAGCTAGGAAATAGGAGTCTACTGTTAAGTGCTGCCAAATTGGTTTCGACTCAGTGACCAACGGAGAACAGAAAGAAACCCTGCTTAGTCCTGCACACCCTCACAGTTACTGCTAGGTTTGAGCCCAGCTTTGCGGCTGCTATATCAGTTCAGTTTGCTTTTCTGATGACTTTCCCCCTTGTCATGCATGATGTCCTTCTCCAGGACTGGTCCCTCCTGATAAACGTGTCCAAAGTACCTGAGACGACGTTTGGCCATCTTTGCTTGTACGGAGTAGTCTAGGTGTACTTCTTCCCTTTCTTCTTCTGGAAGTCCACAGTGACCTCAGTATTCTTTGCCGCCACCACATTTCAAGCGTATCCATTTGTCTCTGGTCTTCCTTATTCATTGTCAACTGCAGCATGCATTTGTCATTGTCAACTGTATTCGTTGTCAACTGCAGCACGCAGTTGAAGCCACAGAAAACACCCTGCCTTGGATCAGGCACACCTCAGTCGTCCAAGTGACATCTCTGCTCCTCAGTACTTGAAAGAGATTTGGTGCAGCAGATTTGCCCAGTCCAATACGAAATTTGATTTCTTGACTGCTGTTTCCATGAGCATTGATGGTGTATCCAAGTAAAATGAAATCCTGAAGAATTTCAATCTTTTCTTTGTTCCTCATGATGCCATTTATTGGTTCAGTTGTGAGGATTTTTGTTTACGTGGAATTGTAATTCACACTGAAGATTGTATTCTAGGTATAGTTTATTGGTACAGTTGCCCCAACTTTGTTTTGCTAAAGCTACTGATTTAATAATCAGGGACACCCGGGGATGGAAAGGACGTTAGAAGTCATTAAGTTCAACCTCTGAGTCTCAGTGTTCTCATGTCATTCTCTTAGGACGTTGGGAGATGGTGCATGTAAATCACTTAATATTGTGAACAATATGTAATAGATGTTTGGTGAAAAGTCAGCATTGTCACTATTAATATGAAAAGTGGAGCTTGTGTGAAACAGAAGAGTCCGGATGGTCAGGGTACCAAAACTAGAAACGTGGGAAGATGGTGCAGAGGTGCAACAATTGAGAAGTAGGTGTGGTGCTTGTGGGTAACTATCTTGGGAACTGGCAGAAAGCCAAGGAATTGGATTTTTGATGTCTCTGTGCGAAATCCATGTGGCTGCTAACTGAAAAACTGTCAGTAGAATGATGTAGCAGACTGCTCTGGTTAAAAAATCATATCCGTGGGTGCCCACCTTCCCAATACGATCATTGAAGACAAACGTGTGCATAAGCAAATGTGGTGAAGAAAGCTAATGGTGCCCGACTATCAAAAGATATAGTGTCTGGGGTCTTAAAGGCTTGAAGATAAACAAGC